TAATCCTTTTGCTGTTATTACACTAATACACACATTATATATAAGTATCTACATTTGTGTTCACCATAGAGAACCACTGACCTAGTATGGTGAACGCAAACAATAACAGGTGGCCACACAGTCAGTAAACGATGCTGTCTCCCTCCGTCTCTCAGCATCACTCCTCACACAGCGCTAATTATTACAACAATCCTGCTATTATCACAACCCTGGTTATTTATATCACAGTCATTGGTCATCTGTAATATTGTCATCGCTAAATAATAACAATTATATATTTATTTTGACATTTTTCGGCGATGCTGTGGGCACAAGCTGAACATCAATGCTGTTCGCTCATGCTGCGTGCGCCGGCCTTGGTTGCTCCAACAGTACTGTGCCTCTCACACCTGAGAATATTGCCCACGATTTTTTTTTAAAATGGCATCTGTTTACAAGAGCCCTGAGGAAGCTACTGTGAACCCCGTGTAGCCGCGGGCCATTTGAATCAGGCCTGGCACCCTATGGCGTATATATACGCCATGCGCACCATGGGACATGTTACTCAGGGCGTATATATACGCCATGCGCAGTTTAAGGGTTAATGCCACATCACCCCTTCCACCTCACTCAAATGTAGATATAAAATCGGAGATACGTAAGTTCTATTCAGTTGTGTATTTGTGAACTAAAGTCTTTGAAAATGTAATAAGTTTTACGAAACGCGCCCGTGTCGCGTCAGACTAGAAATAAAAATGAATTTTGGAGAATTGATTTTTGATTTACCTCCAACAGTGAAGCGTAATGTACGAAAGATTGAGAAAATTCGTGTTAGAATTATTAATCTTACTTTTTCGGTCATATTTAATAATATATATATATATATATATATATATATATATATATATATATATATATATATATATATATATATATATATTGGTGTATACTGGCAGCAGGTTTTCTTTCAAACATGTTTCATTGAATATGACCGCATATTCTGTATTTATTATTTTCTGGTTTAGGGCTTCTATCCCTCCAACTATTTTCTTAGCATCAGGGCTTAATTGAAATAGGAGTTCTCCAAAACTCATTTTCGTACCTTTAAGGTGAAGAAAAGAAGTGATTTACTATAGAGTGTATTACACTTATTTGTATAATTTGCACGACGTTTCGAACCTCCATGGTTCATTCTCAAGTGAACAGATCTTACAATACTAGTTGATTTTATACCCGCATTAGGTCAGGTGATAATACAATGAAGGTGAAAACATGGGGGGATACATAAGGGATAAACATAGGGGCTGCAGAAGGCTTATTGGCCCATACGAGGCATCTCCTATCTAAACACAAAGATTAATCCAGTGTAATTGGCCTGTTATGTTGGACATTGTCTTCTGTGTTGGCATCGATATGTTCTTGTCTTGTCCTTACTCTCATGGTGGGTAGAGTAAATAGTTCCGTGATTTGGGTGTTCATGGTAGGTCGCTCTATTCTTATGTGAATTGCCTCAAGAATTGCCTTCTTGAGGCAATTCACATAAGAATAGAGCGACCTACCATGAACACCCAAATCACGGAACTATTTACTCTACCCACCATGAGAGTAAGGACAAGACAAGAACATATCGATGCCAACACAGAAGACAATGTCCAACATAACAGGCCAATTACACTGGATTAATCTTTGTGTTTAGATAGGAGATGCCTCGTATGGGCCAATAAGCCTTCTGCAGCCCCTATGTTTATCCCTTATGTATCCCCCCATGTTTTCACCTTCATTGTATTATCACCTGACCTAATGCGGGTATAAAATCAACTAGTATTGTAAGATCTGTTCACTTGAGAATGAACCATGGAGGTTCGAAACGTCGTGCAAATTATACAAATAAGTGTAATACACTCTATAGTAAATCACTTCTTTTCTTTACCTTAAAAGTACGAAAATGAGTTTTGGAGAACTCCTATTTCAATTAAGCCCTGATGCTAAGAAAATAGAGGGATAGAAGCCCTAAACCAGAAAATAATAAATACAGAATATGCGGTCATATTCAATGAAACATATATATATATATATATATATATATATTAGTATATTTTGGTAGCAGTCTTTCCTGTAGACATATTTTATTAAATATGACCGAAAAAGTAAGATTAATAATTCTAACACGAATTTTCTCAATCTTTCGTACATTATGCTTCACTGTTGGAGGTAAATCAAAAATCACTTCTCCAAAATTCATTTTTATTTCTAGTCTGACGCGACACGGGCGCGTTTCGTAAAACTTATTACATTTTCAAAGACTTCACAAATACACAACTGATTAGAACTTGCGTTTCCCTGATTTTATATCTACATTTGAGTGAGGTGGGAAGGGTGATGTGGCATTACATTTGAGTAAGGTGGGAAGGATGATGTGGCATTAGAGGATATTAATAGGGTATTAAAAGTATCAACACAAGACAGAACACGAAACAATGGATATTGAATAGAAGTGTTTGTAGAAAGCCTATTGGTCCATATTTCTTGATGCTTCTATATTGGAGCGGAGTCTTGAGGTGGGTAGAATATAGTTGTGCAATAATTGGCTGTTGATTGCTGGTGTTGACTTCTTGATGTGTAGTGCCTCGCAAACGTCTAGCCGCCTGCTATCGCTGTATCTATCGATGATTTCTGTGTTGTTTACTAGGATTTCTCTGGCGATGGTTTGGTTATGGGAAGAGATTATATGTTCCTTAATGGAGCCCTGTTGTTTATGCATCGTTAAACGCCTAGAAAGAGATGTTGTTGTCTTGCCTATATACTGGGTTTTTTGGAGCTTACAGTCCCCAAGTGGGCATTTGAAGGCATAGACGACGTTAGTCTCTTTTAAAGCGTTCTGTTTCGTGTCTGGAGAGTTTCTCATGAGTAGGCTGGCCGTTTTTCTGGTTTTATAGTAAATCGTCAGTTGTATCCTCTGATTTTTGTCTGTAGGGATAACGTTTCTATTAACAATATCTTTCAGGACCCTTTCCTCTGTTTTATGAGCTGTGGAAAAGAAGTTCCTGTAAAATAGTCTAATAGGGGGTATAGGTGTTGTGTTAGTTGTCTCTTCGGAGGTTGCATGGCTTTTCACTTTCCTTCTTATGATGTCTTCGATGAAACCATTGGAGAAGCCGTTATTGACTAGAACCTGCCTTACCCTACAGAGTTCTTCACTCTGAACATGAAGAACTCTGTAGGGTAAGGCAGGTTCTAGTCAATAACGGCTTCTCCAATGGTTTCATCGAAGACATCATAAGAAGGAAAGTGAAAAGCCATGCAACCTCTGAAGAGACAACTAACACAACACCTATACCCCCTATTAGACTATTTTACAGGAACTTCTTTTCCACAGCTCATAAAACAGAGGAAAGGGTCCTGAAAGATATTGTTAATAGAAACGTTATCCCTACAGACAAAAATCAGAGGATACAACTGACGATTTACTATAAAACCAGAAAAACGGCCAGCCTACTCAAGAGAAACTCTCCAGACACGAAACAGAACGCTTTAAAAGAGACTAACGTCGTCTATGCCTTCAAATGCCCACTTGGGGACTGTAAGCTCCAAAAAACCCAGTATATAGGCAAGACAACAACATCTCTTTCTAGGCGTTTAACGATGCATAAACAACAGGGCTCCATTAAGGAACATATAATCTCTTCCCATAACCAAACCATCGCCAGAGAAATCCTAGTAAACAACACAGAAATCATCGATAGATACAGCGATAGCAGGCGGCTAGACGTTTGCGAGGCACTACACATCAAGAAGTCAACACCAGCAATCAACAGCCAATTATTGCACAACTATATTCTACCCACCTCAAGACTCCGCTCCAATATAGAAGCATCAAGAAATATGGACCAATAGGCTTTCTACAAACACTTCTATTCAATATCCATTGTTTCGTGTTCTGTCTTGTGTTGATACTTTTAATACCCTATTAATATCCTCTAATGCCACATCATCCTTCCCACCTTACTCAAATGTAATGCCACATCACCCTTCCCACCTCACTCAAATGTAGATATAAAATCAGGGAAACGCAAGTTCTAATCAGTTGTGTATTTGTGAAGTCTTTGAAAATGTAATAAGTTTTACGAAACGCGCCCGTGTCGCGTCAGACTAGAAATAAAAATGAATTTTGGAGAAGTGATTTTTGATTTACCTCCAACAGTGAAGCATAATGTACGAAAGATTGAGAAAATTCGTGTTAGAATTATTAATCTTACTTTTTCGGTCATATTTAATAAAATATATATATATATATATGAATATGAAAACTCACACCCCAGAAGTGACTCGAACCCATACTCCCAGGAGCAATGCAACTGGTAACTACAGGGCGCCTTAATCCACTTGACCATCACGGCCGTCAAAAGGAAGTGATAGCCGAGGCTATTTGAGCCACTTCCCCGACGGCAACTCGGATGGTAATCTTGGGCATAGCATTTCACCAAATCACCTCATTCTTTGGGGCACACGTGAGGAACACAAATGCGAACAAGCCTGAATGGTCCCCAGGACTATATGCGAATGAAAACTCACATCCCAGAAGTGACTCGAACCCATACTCCCAGGAGCAACGCAACTGGTAACTACAGGGCGCCTATTCATATATATATACAGTATATATATCATTAATATACTTACCAGTTGTAGAGTATATCATTAACATACTGAACTGAATGGTAGAGTTATCCTACTACCAGTTATGTAGACAGGTAAGTTTGGCCAGTAACAGTGGTAGAGTTATCCTACTACCGGTTGTGTAGAAGGGTAAGTATGGCCAGTAACAATGGTAGCGTTATCCTACCACCAGTTGTTTAAACAGGTACATTTTCCCAGTAACAATGGTGGCGTTATCTTACTACCAGTTATGTAAACAGGTACGGTTGCACAGTAATAGATAAATGATGATTTGTATTTTTTCTCCAGAGTGAGATATTAAGATTAGTATTTAATGTTATCATTATAATATTTGTTCTGTTTATCAGGGACAATTGCAGAGAGAGAGCATCGCAAATGGGAGGCTGCAGTGTCCTTACCCAACAACCCTTATGCTCCAGAGCGTCTGGTCCAACGTCTTTCTCATGCCCACGCGCCTGAACGTAACCCGCCACTTCGCCGTGCTCTCAGTGTGTGAGTACAGTACTGTATATGCTGTATATCATAGATCACATTGTATGAATGTCTACATTTCCTGGGCAAGCCTTTTTGGTAACTTCGCTCATATTATACTCACATTGTAACTTCATTCACACCTAACATATAGGTCATTGTGCATATATTAGGCTTCTGGGGACTATACATTGGGCACTAGTTCCAATGCAAATTATTTTGCTCTCTCTACAAGATGGGTAGCTTGTGGGAAATGAAGATCAACTAAGAAGAATAGTGAAGTATAGAAGTGAACCAGCCACAACAATACTGAGACAGGCCTTAAAAGACTCAAACTTCCTCTAAATAATGTTTAGCAAAATCAAATCACCAAACACAATGGTGACTGAATAAACTGAATAAACTACACACTCACTTGCCTGCTATCCTCGACTGCCACCAGATGGCTTTCCGATCCATTTGGGGCACAGGGATTGGATGGTGACTATCTATTTTGTCCAATACAAATCTGTCTCACTCCAAAGTGTGTAGCTTGTCAGCTGGGTTCTCGGCATCCTCGCAGATGGTCTGTCTTGGTTTCTTCCCATCTGCTAGGGGTGGACTGTTGATGCTGCTTCCTTCCTATGGCTTTGCGAGATGTCCAGGCACCTGGCCATGGACCTCTTGGCATCAGTGTGGTCTCAGTAACTTCCTCTTTATGCAGTGCCATTTCCTGATTGCGAGGCCCATCACAGAAGATGCCCTGTGGTTGGACTGGTTGACGTGGGGTGTCCCTATCTCTTCTTCCTCAATTCGGTTGTTGCTCTAGGTTCTGGCATGACTGGAGTCCTAAGCAGGGAGAGTGATCCTTTCGTCTTCTTGGTGGTTGATTTAATCTTAGTTTCAGGTGCTACTTGCTCAGTATCTGAACCCGGCCATTTTTCTGCAGTTCGTCCTCTAACAGAGTCGACAGTGATGTACTTCACTGGGTCGACCTCCACTCTATACGTCTAAAAATGTTTACACATCATCAACTTTATGGTGATCAGGTGGCTGCTTTCATGGTTTCCCCACCTGGAATCTTCTTTGAGGCAACAGTATGAGGTGTCTGGCATTCGTTTTATCATTTCCCTTATCTTCATTGCTCCATTTTACAAGCTGTCTCATGCAATGTTTGACCTCTGGCCTGCTCATATGCCCCCTGAACCTGCTTAGTCCCTAGACCATGTTCTTTCTTTTCTTTCGTCCACTAGGTTTACTGTGTCCCCTTCAGACTGTGATTGTTTCTTGAAGGCTTCGTGCTTGGCTTCTCTCACCTCCAGTTGTTGGGTGGGAAGCTTCATGCTCTCCTCCAGCACTAAGGTTTTTGTTCTTTTAGACCTGGTGGGCGGTTTGTTCACTTGGAGCCGGCTTCTTTTCTGTCAAAGAACGAGTCGGTTGGCTTCCAAAGGGGTCCTTTGATCATTGATGCTTGATTGGTCTGGCTGGGGGTAATTACCTAAGTGTAAATACCTAAGTGTAGTTACAGGATGAGAGCTACCTTACCTTGAGGTTACCTTGAGGTTACCTTGAGGTGCTTCCGGGGCTTAGCGTCCCCGCGGCCCGGTCGTCGACCAGGCCTCCTGGTTGCCGGACTGATCAACCAGGCTGTTGGACGTGGCTGCTCGCAGCCTGACGTATGAGTCACAGCCTGGTTGATCAGGTATCCTTTGGAGGTGCTTATCCAGTTCTCTCTTGAACACTGTGAGGGGTCGGCCAGTTATGCCCCTTATGTGTAGTCACTACACTCGTGGTATCCCGTCTTCCCAACACTCTTTGTCATATAATGCTTTGAAACTACTGACGGTCTTGGCCTCCACCACCTTCTCACCTTCATGAGATCATGGTGCATCATGAGTTGTGTCCAATAGTAACTGAGCATCACTACCTTCATGTCTCTGGTTTTGGTGGATTCTTTGTGGGTTGATCTTGTCACCTTGGTACCCTATTTCAAGGTTTATCTTTCACAAGGTTGTCTGTAGTGTCATTGCATCTAGCCAGCCTGTGGTCTACCCTCATGCCCATGATGGTGCAAAAATGCCCCACTCTGGTATTTTTGCAAATATGTCCTGGGCTGGAATTTGGGTGTGGGGGATTATGGGGGTTAAGCAGGGTGTTGGCAGCCCGGTGGTATCTTGTCAGTGTAATTACCTAAGTGTAGTTACAGGATGAGAGCTATGCTTGTGGTGTCCCGTCTTCGCACCACTATTTGTCATATAACACTTTGAAATTACTGATGGCTTTGGCCTCCACCACCTTCTCACCTAACTTGTTCCAACCATCTACCACTCTGTTTACAAAAGTGAATTTCTTATATTTCTCTGGTAGCTTTGTTTTGTTAGTTTAAATCTATGTCCTCTTGTACTTGAAGTTCCAGGTCTCAGGAACTTTTCCTGTCAATTTTATCGCGTCCTGTTACTATTTTGTACGTCGTGATCATATTGCCTCTTTTTCTCTTATCTTCTAGTTTTTGCATATTTAATGCCTCTAACCTCTCCTTGTAGCTCTTGTCCTTCAGCTCTTGGAGCCACTTAGTGGCATGTCATTGCACCTTTTCCAGATGGTTGATGTGCTTCTTAACTCTTAAACTGCGCAACACGTCATATGAAGGATTAGTACCTTGCTATAAATTACGCATCGCCTCATACGACGTTATGGAGTACCACGCAAGATTTAAATGGCCTGTGGATACACAGGGTTTACCTCGCCTTCATCAGGGCTCTTGTAAACAGACGCCATTTTAAAAAAAAATCATGGGCCACATTCCCGGGTGTGAGGTGCTCAGTACTGAGTGAGCCACCAAGACTCGTGCACATAGCATGAGCTCACAGCACTGCTGTTCAGCTTATGACAGCATCGCTTATAAATATCAAAATATATATGTACATGCTATTATTTACTGATCATAGTATTACAGAAGACCCCTGACTGTGATCAAAATAACCAGGATTCTAATAATAGGAGGATTGTTGTGATAATTAACACTGTAGTGGGAGGAGTAATCTTGGTGGGGAGAGAGGTAGCGTTGTCTGCTGACTCTGTGTGACCTCCTTTTACTGTCTAGACTTGCTATACCAGGTTAGTTGGTCACTATGGTGAACAAAACATGCAGATACTTATATATAACATCTGTATATAGTGAATAAAAGCAAAAAACCGTATGGTGGCAGGAGAAGGGTGGCAAGTCAGGTGGGGTGAGGGAGGGAGGGAGCGAGTGACAGCCAGTGGCGGGCTGCCACTGGCTGGCTGGCTGGCTCTCAGGTACACTAAGGTACACTAAGTAATAATTTGCATTTTGAGACACAGGTAAAGCCAGGGGTACAATGGAGTAAGGGAGTATGGCGAGGCTAAGCAACCTAGGTAATAAATGAAATCAAAGAAAAAAGTTGATTAATAAACATAGGCAAATTTAAGCTAATGATTATTACCTATAAATAGTTTAGTTGTGAACGTATAATTAATAAGACCTAAAGAAATATTAAAGCACTCAGTTAAGTCCAATAAATGACTAGTAAAAAGTAAATTAAAACTTAATTTAAAAAGTGAAACAAAGAGACTTAGGATACGTAGCCCGCACTAGGTGACAAGGGGGTTAATTATGTTGACTCATTGAGAGTGATAATAAGGTGAGACAAACCACATTGGGTGAAGAAAGTGTTGAGGTTATCCTCATTAGCAATTGTAAACATTTTACCTACTGAAGTCTTTCTCACTTTAATCAAGCCATCTCTAACGAAGCACTGATGAATCACATCTGGGTTTTGATGACGGATTTGACGCAGGCGGTAGAGGAGTTGCTGTCTTTTTCTAGTCAAGCACTCGTTGATGTAGATTCCCTGTCGTTGGGATGCAGCTGTCCGGACAAGATGCGATTTCATGGACATGGAAGCCAGTTTCTGGCGAATTTTCCGCTGGTTTTGTCCTGATGGATTCTTTTTGCCTACTCTGTAGGCAGCAATAATGTCTGTCTTGTTTAGAGTGAACTGCAAATCCTTTTTTTTAAGAGATCCTGAACTATTTCAATACACTTTTCACCTTCGCTTTCCACTGGAATATCTTGGGACGACACAACTACAGAGTCAAGCAGTTTTTGCTGATCTTGCTCATCCTGGGTGACAGAACGTTGGGCGGATAATGTACTGATACAAACAGTCATTTTGCTGAGAACTTCCTCTTTTTTTTTATGGCTTCATCGGATTTCAGACGAATGTTTTCCTCACGTAGATCATTCAAGTCATGCTGGAGTTGATCTTGGCTAGCCCTCAAGTTTCTAATATCCTCGCGGAGGAGGATTATTTCCTGTTGTTGTTGATGGAGGTTCGCACAGTTTGCTTGATTTTCAGTTTGAAGACTCAAGATGATCGTATTTTGCGCCTCAAAGACTGAGCACAACTTTTTGGCCCACTGATTATCGGCCCAGTTAGAGAAATCCGGTGAGGGACCAGTAGCACGCTTGAATTTCGTAAACTGGGATGTAAGAATGGTAATAGGAGAGGATGACATGATAAGTCGTGCAGACAATGCCACCGCCCTCACCAAAATGGTGGCTCCCAACCTACTCCTCTTGCTATTTATACCCTCTATACACACGTTATATATATATTTTTTTTTGTTTGAGATATATACAAGAGTTGTTACATTCTTGTACAGCCACTAGTATGCGTAGCGTTTCGGGCAAGTCCTTAATCCTATGTTCCCTGGAATACGATCCCCTGCCGCGAAGAATTGTTTTTTCATCCAAGTACACATTTTACTGTTGCGTTAAACAGAGGCTACAGTTAAGGAATTGCGCCCAGTAAATCCTCCCCGGCCAGGATACGAACCCTGACATAGCGCTCGCGGAACGCCAGGCGAGTGTCTTACCACTACACCACGGAGACTGCTTATATATAAGTATCTACATTTGTGTTCACCATAACGAACCACTAAGCTGATATGGTGAGTGCAGTCAATAAAAGGTGGCCACACACAGTCAGAAGACAACGCCACTACCCTCCCCTCCCTCAGCATTACTCCTCCCTCTATGGAGCACAGCGCTAAATATCACCACAATCCTGCTATTATCAGAACCCTGGTCAGTTTTATCACAGTCAGGGTCTTCTGTAATAATATCATCGCTACATAATAGCATGAACAAGTATATTTTGGCATTTTTAGGCGATGCTGTGGCCACAAGCTGAATGGCAATGCTGTGAGCTCATGCTGCATGCGTCTGGCTTGGCAGCTCACTCAATACTGAGGCCCCTAACACCCGGGAATTTGGCCCACGATTTTTTTTTTTAAATGGCGTCTGTTTACAAGAGCCCAGATGTAGGTGTGGTGAACCCCGTGTATCCGCGGGCCATTTAAATCTTGCGTAGTACTCCAAAGCATCATATGATGCGATACGCAATTTACTGCAAGTTGGTCAAAGTATCATATGATGCGATGCACAATTTAAGGGTTAATGAACATTTCAATTGTCACTGTTTACTGTATAATATATGTTACTTATATATAAGTATTATATTATATATAATATATAATATATATATAATATATATAATATAAGTATTATATTATATATAATATAATAATACTTTGTACTTAAATAATACCTATTAATTTATCTCTTTATATGGGCAGAGAATTTCCTGAGGAGGGTGGGAAAGAGCTGGATCCCAGTCTGCGTGATGGAGTGCCACCAAAGCCAGACCTTAACAGGTACAGCCGCGACTATTACGTGACAACTACTAGTGGCAAGACTTCCTCTCTAAACTTCAGACACCAGAAATGTCAGCAACAGGCACAGCAGCAGCAGGACAACCAACTCCAGAAGGGACGTCAACAAAAGCTATACAAAAGTGAAATAATGTTATCAGCCAATGGGCATCAGGCAAGAACACCAACATCGCTGGATCATTCTACATATGTTGAGGTATAGGAAAAAGTTTTTTGTAAGGCCACCCATGCATGCTGCATGTTGAGGAGCTCCTGAACCCTTGTACCATCTCTCAAGCTAACATTTCCCAATATTGTTACCATTACTTGATACCTGCTTGATGCTTGTACAGATGAATGCTTGTGTAAAAGTTGGGATTAGATATATTACTTACTCTCCTACCACTGATATAAATAACATACACAACGGGTAAAGCTTCTAATGTAGTATACAGCAGCATAACTGACAATTTCAATAAGAGTAACATTTTTGTGATCAAAACCCAGCATTTAATTTTATGAAATGCCAATTTCTGGGTGAACCCTGGTGGCTCTCTGAAGCTACTCTTAGTGTGCCAACTACTAGGTCACATAAGCTGTGAAATTCTATTTGGTTTATTGGGGATCGACACCAGAACCTGGCCCTCTCACAGAGGTGCAAGGGAAATGGTGTTTATTGATTTATTTTACCACCACTAGGGAAGGCACCCAGAAAGTCAGCAAAACAAAACAGGCCACTGCAGTGAAGCAACACTGAAGCCTTGAGAGCCATCAACAGAACTCCCCCAACAATGTCAACAAACGATTAAAAAGTTTTGAAAATTATGCCAGCTCGTTCGCCATGCCTTTCCCCACTATAAGTGAGAAAGGTAGCTCGCAGTCAGCCAGCAACACCACCCTGTGAGAGAATGGTCTCTCAGAGCCCAAGCTCATGTCTGCTCAAGCTGTAAGAGTTTGCTTGCATATGTGCTTGCATGGTGCAACTTTCTTAGATCTTATGTTTTACGTCTACAGATCCCTCATGCAAAGAGGACTTCAAAAATGTTGCCAGGGTCGACCTAGGTCATGTGATTGTGACAGAATTGAATGTGCGGTGGATTATTACCAGGGGTATAGTACCAAGAGGGTGTGAGGGAATTTTTGTTGTTGTGTGTGTGAGAGGTGAGAGAGGCACAAGGCCTAATCAAACTATTGGCCCAACTGACCAAAAACCCCCATTTAACTTCTTGCGATGCTGGAGATGTCTGTTGGAATGCAATGGAACTACTGCATGAGCTCGATTATCCAGACTATATCCAGATAAGATAAGGGATCCCAGTGGTACAGTCGGGTTCATTTTCGACACATAATCATGAATTCTGGGTTCGAATCCCAGGCGGGACAGAAATGGTTGGTCACATTTCCTTTCATTTAATGCCTCTGATCACCTAGCAGTGAGTTGGTACTCAGGAGTTGGTATGCAGGTGTGCTTGGGGAAAGGGGGGGGTTGGACCTCGATATAAGCCTAACATGCATGAATACACTCTGGCTTCCTGTCCCCCCAACACAATGAATTACTATATGGAAAGAACCCGATCCGGATAAGCCCAGAATCCAGATTAGCAGAATTCTTACTCGGGAAGTACAAAAAGAAAGATACAGGTTACTGTGAAAACAAAATAGTTACAGTGGGGCCTCGATTAACGATGGTAATCCGTTCCCAGAGACGTATCGTAAGTCGAAGCGATTTTTCCCACATGAAATGAAGGGAATTGGATTAACCACCGTGCTGCGCCGAGTTTATTGTGAAATTCCCCCGGTGCACATGAAATAAAGTGTTCCCCAAAAAATTCATTTTTTCTTCATAAAAATGATAAATTCCCTTCCCTGAACATGTCATGTAAAAATAGATATCAAATTCTACTTACTTTGGCTGTGGGGACGTGGACAAGGGCGCTGTGACATCATCAGGGCCTGGTCGCCCGGCCGTGAATCGCCCAGACACGGTCGCGCGGGCCATTCAAGCACCGGGTGTTGCCACATATATATTTTCAATTATTTGTTTCATGTATTTCCAATGTTGTTTTATTAGTTTTTTATCGTATATGATGCATATTTGTGTTCTTTACAATATGTATACAGTAGAACGTTCATAATGTTCCATGGAACTGTGATACATGTCAGTAATGTGTCCACAATAAATGTTTATTGTCGCAATATTACCTGTTAAAAATTCACTAAAATTACAATGTGTACAGTTTCACACACTATTTACACAGTAACACACTGTATTACACACTCAGTACTTCGGAAGTGAGTAATAATCAACGAAGTAGCCCATGGTACACAGCGCGACTTTGCTCTCAGTGCACCACGTACAGATAAATTTTCGCTTCCTGATTCTTCATTCTGTGTGCTTGCAAATAACGCACTCACGTACACCCTTGGCTTTAGTACTTGTAGGTTGTATGTAGCCAAGCTTGTAAAGCATAAGGTAGTATTGAAAAGATTATAGGAAAAGATCAATTTGTAAGGTAGTCTTGAAAAGATCGCTTTGTATGGTCCCACACAGGAAGAGATTCAGCTAGCCTCAAAAAGTGTTCGTCAGTTAGGAAGAGATTCAGGTAATCTTGAAAATATCTATGGAAAACACCACCATGGAAGCCGCTAACACTGTTCATCTATGCTACTTGTATCAGATGCATCATCACTGAACGCAGAAAACAATTCATCTATGTATCATCTAAATAAATTGGAGATAGCATAGGATTGCAAGGGTGACACTCAGAGCTACAACTGGATACGCTCGCTGTATCGTCCTCATAGGTGCTGTATCACTTGCATCTGACCTTTGTGTTAGGTCCTTATTGCGCCTGGCTTCACCAATATTATGACCCTTATGATCTTCAAACAATAAGGTTTGAATTTCACCAACAGAGCGTTATCTTTCAATACCTTTCAACACCGCGTCGGACAAGTGTTTGGGAGCCAGAGGCGCCTGCGCCACCCATGGTTGCTCATTCAGTACTAACCCAGCCAGCAGCCCTAGGGCATTCTGGGATTTTTTTCCAAGATGGCTGCCTCTCACGGAGGTCCTAAGAGTTCATTTCGTACACAACCAACCTCGTACACATTTAGAATTGGTACCGAAAAATCAAAGAGAGTTTTCTCAGTTGGCGCAGTTTCCCGCCGACTGAGTTGGCGGGAAACACAGTATCACAGTATCATTTCTCGGTTGGCGCAGTTAAGTGGTTAATCCGTTCCATACTCCCAAAAATATTAACATAAAAATACATTTTATACCGAATAGAATTTTTTTTCTCTAACTACAATACAGTACATATGTTTATCTTACCTTTGTGGAGGACTCTTGATGCGTATGGAAGATGGTGAGGAGGGGGTAGGAGGAGAGGTGTTACTGTTTGGAAGGGAAGTCCCCTTCCATTATAACATCAGGCAGTGATGACTTCTCTGGGGGTACACACTCTCCTGCTTTTTGCCTGCATACCACTAGGACCTGGTAGTGGTTCACTGCTTGTTTGTCTCACTAAAAACCTTTCCAGAGATTTTTGTTTTTCCATCCCTTTTAATTTTTGTCTGTAGTGAGGCATCACAGTATCATTAAAAACACACAGAGGCATCACAGTGTCATTAAAAACACTCCTGAGGTTAAAACACTCCTGAGGTTAAAACACTCCTGAGGTTAAAACACACCTGAGGTTAAAACACTCCTGAGGTTAAAACACTCCTGAGGTTAAAACACTGTTAAAACACTCCTGAGGTTAAAACACTCCTGAGGTTAAAACACTCCTGAGGTTAAAACACACCTGAGGTTAAAACACTCCTGAGGTTAAAACACTCCTGAGGTTAAAACACTCCTGAGGTTAAAACACTCCTGAGGTTAAAACACTCCTGAGGTTAAAACACTCCTGAGGTTAAAACACTCCTGAGGTTAAAACACTCCTGAGGTTAAAACACTCCTGAGGTTAAAACACTCCTGAGGTTAAAACACTCCTGAGGTTAAAACACTCCTGAGGTTAAAACACTCCTGAGGTTAAAACACTCCTGAGGTTAAAACACACCTGAGGTTAAAACACTCCTGAGGTTAAAACACTCCTGAGGTTAAAACACTCCTGAGGTTAAAACACTCCTGAGGTTAAAAACACTCCTGAGGTTAAAACACACCTGAGGTTAAAACACTCCTGAGGTTAAAACACTCCTGAGGTTAAAACACACCTGAGGTTAAAACACTCCTGAGGTTAAAACACTCCTGAGGTTAAAACACTCCTGAGGTTAAAACACACCTGAGGTTAAAACACTCCTGAGGTTAAAACACTCCTGAGGTTAAAACACTCCTGAGGTTAAAACACTCCTGAGGTTAAAACACTCCTGAGGTTAAAACACTCCTGAGGTTAAAACACACCTGAGGTTAAAACACTCCTGAGGTTAAAACACTCCTGAGGTTAAAACACACCTGAGGTTAAAACACTCCTGAGGTTAAAACACTCCTGAGGTTAAAACACTCCTGAGGTTAAAACACTCCTGAGGTTAAAACACTCCTGAGGTTAAAACACTCCTGAGGTTAAAACACTCCTGAGGTTAAAACACTCCTGAGGTTAAAACACTCCTGAGGTTAAAACACTCCTGAGGTTAAAACACTCCTGAGGTTAAAACACTCCTGAGGTTAAAACACTCCTGAGGTTAAAACACTCCTGAGGTTAAAACACTCCTGAGGTTAAAAACCTGAGGTTAAAACACTCCTGAGGTTAAAACACTCCTGAGGTTAAAACACTCCTGAGGTTAAAACACACCTGAGGTTAAAACACTCCTGAGGTTAAAACACTGAGGTTAAAACACTCCTGAGGTTAAAACACTCCTGAGGTTAAAACACTCCTGAGGTTAAAAACTCCTGAGGTTAAAACACACCTGAGGTTAAAACACTCCTGAGGTTAAAACACTCCTGAGGTTAAAACACTCCTGAGGTTAAAACACTCCTGAGGTTGAAACACACCTGAGGTTGAAACTGTCCTGAGGTTAAAACACTCCTGAGGTTAAAACACTCCTGAGGTTGAAACACACCTGAGGTTGAAACTGTCCTGAGGTTAAAACACTCCTGAGGTTAAAACACTCCTGAGGTTGAAACACACCTGAGGTTGAAACTGTCCTGAGGTTAAAACACTCCTGAGGTTGAAACACACCTGAGGTTGAAACTGTCCTGAGGTTGAAACACTTTAAAAA